AGCCTGGCCATTTCCTGATCGACTTGGCTCAGGCTGGGCGCAGGCTGATCCATCCTCTCATCGTCAGTAATGTCACTGGACTGCAGGATCTCTGAAGCCTTGTATATTTTCTTGCCAAATGACTGCTTCATAGGTTTCAGTGAGGCGGCTTGGTAATGCATCTTCCTGCTAGGCTTCGCACTCTCATTCTCTTTATTAAAGTCCACACTGGAGGGATATTCTCCTAATACCCGATCAGGTACCAGGCTCTCTCCAGCAGCACTCATGTGTCCTGATTTGGACTGCAAATCTGGAAGCGATCTGTACTCCCTCTCAGCCTGACTCTGGAGGAAGATGTTTCTGTCACTGTATCCGTCCCTCAAGGGCATAAATACCCTATCACTCCCCGACTTCCATGCTCTAATTTTCTCGCTGCTCTCCTGATGCTTGTCTGCAGGGATAACGCTGAGAGAACCACCTATGATCTGTCTTACAGTCTGCTTGCCTTCTTGGAAAACGCTTCCGTCTGAGTCGCTGGAGGAAGAGTGCCCCAGCCCGAGGTCCGGTATGCTGATGCCACTCCTTGTACTCTTCCCGCTGCAAAGGATAAATAAATCTTTTGCAATGCGATGAATACACTTTTGACAAATCTATACTCACATGTGACAGTCTGATATATGTGTAGGACAAGGAATTTTCTTTCACAGTATGATCCCATTATTTCTGCAGATTGTAGAGGAGGAAAACGAACAAAGGAGCAGTAAACAAAGGTGACAGTAATGCCATAGTGATGGTACTGTACATATATGAAATCATATAATTTCGTAAGTATTTCATGAAGCCAAACACAACTGCATATGTATGAAGGAGACAGCATAACTTAGACATAAGTTCCATTGTTATAAACCACTAAAGCAAATATGAGGCTGTATAATAGAGTTGTATTAAACCTTTCTGGACCTATTAAATGCTCAATTTCTTTATTTTGTGATTTTTAAAAGTAGGTTAAAAAAAAACAAAAAATGGAGTGAGTCAAAAGCTCAAATGTAGTTTGCAGCTGTAGTTCTCCTAGCTATAAAGGATATTTTTGGCAGTGAACTTAGCATTCTGATTTTAATTTCAGTTATAACAAATAAATATACTTGGATGTTAGTGAACCAAATATCTTTCAAACATTCTTAGCACATATCATTATTATTTATTATTATTCATAATTATCATCATAATAGTAACAATGCTAAATGACAATGATAATAATAATGACTTTCCTTTCTGATAATTCAGAAACAAAAACCCCAATGAACAGTGCATGTCAACAGGGTAAAATCTACCTTGCTGGCCGGCTGCCACTCCGCGAAGTCTTTCCTCGAGAACTGCTCCCGGAGGTGGGCCTGCTGGCTGGCCCAGACCTCAGTCCATTACTCTGCTTTGACAAGGGAACAAAATTAGATGCACTTCTGACTCCTGGAATGCTGTATTGGGTTTCTGTTTGGGGCTCTAGTGGCGAGAACCCTTTGTGGTGTGACTGCACTAGTGGGTAATGTGCCGCAGCAGTGGTGGACGGCAGATGTTCGCTGAGTGGAGAGGCCGCGCCACAGCCTATGGGGGTTGAGGTGGAAATGTGGCCGTTCTCCCAGGGGACTTCACGCAGGCGGAAATTCCCCAGCAGCCCTGGCTGGTTCTGAAAATGCAATATCATGTTCAGATACACGAATGAAGAAAATATATGATATAACAGTATTAATAATAACAAGAATAGAATAATAAACAAGAGATCATACAAGGAGAAAGGGAGGGTAGTAGAGAGGGAGGGAGGGAGGATGGGAGGGAGGGAGGATGGGAGGGAGGGAGGGAGGGAGGGAGGGAGGGAGGGAGGAAGGGTGGAAGGGAGAAAAGGAGAGAGGAAGGAGGGAAGGAAGGAGGCAGGGAAGGTGGGAGGGAGGGAGGAAAGAAGGGCAAGAAGGAGGAAGGAAGAAAAGGAGGAAGGGAGGAAGAGAGTGTGAGAGAGGAGAGAGTGAGAGAAAGAGAAAGAGAAAGAGAGAGAGAGAGAGAGAGAGAGAGAGAGAGAGAGAGAGAGAGAGAGAGAGAGAGAGAGAGAGAGAGAGAGAGAGAGAATCTGTGCGATGGTGGTGGGTTGGTTGGGGCCAGAGAGCAGCCCCAAAACATAACTAAGCCAGGCAACGCAACTATTTCTAGGCCTCACTTCCTTGTTGGGGCCCAGGATGGAGGACACCGCCGTGATAATTCCTTGTCGCTGTGTTTGCAGTGCTTGATTCTCCGCTTGCAGTGCTTTTACCTCCTGCTGCAACTGTGACAGCTGAGACATGTGAGATGCTTTGACCTTCTTCAGTTCCTCTTCATGGCTACAAATAGTGGAAAAGTTTTATGGATACTGGTTTACAATGGTATTTCTTATATGAGATATCTCTTTTATTACATCATATTTGTAGCTTTTATATGCAGACTTCATATGTGAACCTCTTACAGAAATTAAAGAAATTAAAAAAAAAAGAAAAAAAGAAAAATCTAGAAAAGAGCTAAAGCAAGATCATTTCTTACAGATTTTATTTCTTCTTTATTTTCCTGCATTATTAAAAGTCGACTCCTACAATAAAATCACACACACACACACACACACACACACAAACAAAACTTACTCTGGAAACAGTTCTGGTTGAAGGTCTTTTTAATGCAAGAGCTTAATATAAAAATTTAATAACACACTCAGAAAGATATGAATGAGGTTGAATAACTCCATCAGCAACATCGTCTTGCGGAAATAACATTCTTTCCCACATGCTGATTTCTCAACAGCAAATCTCACAAGCCACGTTACCTCGCCTGAAGATTGGTCACTGCGTGATTGTGGCTCTTCCTCTGGGCGTCCAACTGATCTTCAAGACTTCCTTTCAGGTTTGTCTCGAGTGTATTTAACTGGTCCTAGATCAACCAAATAAAGGGGGTTATTAAGAATATGATCATCAACAACAACAACAACAACAAAACTCCTGTCCAACTACAGTATTATATTCAGTTGTAAAATCACTATATTTGCAAACTATGCAGGCTTGCTTATGAGTAATGATATGAGATTCAGAATGGGGAAGTGGTCATTTACTCATTAGAACTGGACATCACAACCTTCATGCTCTGACAGGAATGACTCAACAGGAGTGAACAAAACTCCTGGAGGAAAATGAGACTCAGTGGACATTTAGGAAAGGGGTCTCTGATTATTTCTACCAGTCAAGGAGGCTGAAATGTACCATTCGTGAGGCATGGCAGGAAGAGCACCGGTTCCAGGGAGGACATTATTTCTACCATCACATTGCTATTCCTGCCCATCCAGCACAGGGCGTTCCATTAAAATGAGTAATAAAAAAAAATATATATATATATATAAATAAACAGATAAAAAAATATATATAATTTACACACATACACACACACAAAATCTAGACAAGGACCACTTGGTTTCAATGAAGTAATGATCCCCAACTCAAAAGTCAGATAAAGCTATTATAACGGTGGCTTGGTTTTACCTGCAATGACTGAGATTTCTGGCCAACTAATTCCTCCACTCGAGCCTGATATTTCACATTAAAGATAAGTCATGTAAGTTCTTGAAAGTTCTTGGGAAAATGATAAAGGGAGTTTGAAATGGACAAGTGCCCCAGACAATCACTGAACCAACCTGAGAGCCTAAGCTTACATAAGATAGTGTGGAATTTGCATAAAGAGAGTGAGAGAGAGAGAGAGAAAAAGACAGAGAGAGAAAGAGATAGAGAGAGAGAGAGAGAAAAAGAGAGAAAAGTAATGTGGCTATGGCAGTAGTGTATGTTGTGTAATAATCTAGGTTGGAATACATTTTCACATTAAAGATAAGTCATGTAAGTTCTTGAAAGTTCTTGGGAAAATGATAAAGGGAGTTTGAAATGGACAAGTGCCCCAGACAATCACTGAACCAACCTGAGAGCCTAAGCTTACATAAGATAGTGTGGAATTTGCATAAAGAGAGTGAGAGAGAGAGAGAGAAAAAGAGAGAAAAGTAATGTGGCTATGGCAGTAGTGTATGTTGTGTAATAATCTAGGTTGGAATACATTTTCACATTAAAGATAAGTCATGTAAGTTCTTGAAAGTTCTTGGGAAAATGATAAAGGGAGTTTGAAATGGACAAGTGCCCCAGACAATCACTGAACCAACCTGAGAGCCTAAGCTTACATAAGATAGTGTGGAATTTGCATAAAGAGAGTGAGAGAGAGAGAGAGAAAAAGACAGAGAGAGAAAGAGAGAGAGAGAGAAAAAGAGAGAAAAGTAATGTGGCTATGGCAGTAGTGTATGTTGTGTAATAATCTAGGTTGGAATACATTTTCACATTAAAGATAAGTCATGTAAGTTCTTGAAAGTTCTTGGGAAAATGATAAAGGGAGTTTGAAATGGACAAGTGCCCCAGACAATCACTGAACCAACCTGAGAGCCTAAGCTTACATAAGATAGTGTGGAATTTGCATAAAGAGAGTGAGAGAGAGAGAGAGAAAGAAAGAGAGAGAGAAAGAAAGAGAGAGAGAGAAAAAGACAGAGAGAGAGAGAGATAGTCGTGGAGTTCCTGCTTCATGACAGTCATTTTTGCCGCCAGGTCCTCTACTTGTCTTTCAAACTTTGCCTGCCATAATGCAAACCAAATTGGTAATCTTTTAGGACTCCTAAGCTTAGATGGTTAAATCATATGGGACTGCGTGAATCATTTCAGCAAAGGATGAGGAAAGGATGAAGAAATGAGATGTGGGGCAAGGAAAGGGAGGAATGGACAGATGGGGAGGGGGGAGGAGGAGGAAAGGAAGGAGGAAAGGAAGGAGGAGGAGGAGGAGGAGGAGGTGAGAGAAGGGAAGGGAGAAGCTGAGTGAGAGAGAAAAAGAGAGAAAAGTAATGTGGCTATGGCAGTAGTGTATGTTGTGTAATAATCTAGGTTGGAATACATTTTCACATTAAAGATAAGTCATGTAAGTTCTTGAAAGTTCTTGGGAAAATGATAAAGGGAGTTTGAAATGGACAAGTACCCCAGACAATCACTGAACCAACCTGAGAGCCTAAGCTTACATAAGATAGTGTGGAATTTGCATAAAGAGAGTGAGAGAGAGAGAGAGAGAGAGAGAGAGAGAGAGAGAGAGAGAGAGAGAGAGAGAGAGAGAGAGTGAGAGAGTGAGAGATAGAGAGAGAGACAGAGAGAGAGAGAGAGAGACAGAGAGAGAGAGAGAGAGAGAGAGAGAGAGAGAAAAGACAGAGAGAGAGAGAAGAGAAAAAGACAGAGAGAGAGAGAGACAGAGAGAGAGAGAGACAGAGAGAGAGAGAGACAGAGAGAGAGAGAGAGAGAGAGAGAGAGAGAGAGAGAGAGAGAGAGAGAGAGAGAGAGAGAGAGAGAGAGAGAGAGAGAGAGAAAGAGAGAGAGAGAGAGAAAGAAAGAGAGAGAGAGAGAAAGAAAGAGAGAGAGAGAAAGAGAGAGAGAAAGAGAGAAAGAGAGAGAGAGAGAAAGAGAGAGAGAGAGAAAGAGAAGAGATAGAGAGAGAGAGAAAGAGATAGAGAGAGAGAGAAAGAGATAGAGAGAGAGAGAAAGAGATAGAGAGAGAGAGAAAGAGATAGAGAGAGAGAGAAAGAGATAGAGAGAGACAGAGAGAGAGAGAGAAAGAGATAGAGAGAGACAGAGAGAGAGAGAGAGAGAGAGAGAGAGAGAGAGAGAGAGAGAGAGAGAGAGAGAGAGAGAGAGAGAGAGAGAGAGAGAGAGAGATGGATCAAAACCACCATACCAATCACAAGTCTCCCACCTTGTCCTTGAGGGCTTGTTCTTTCTTGTCTTCCTCCTCCACCACTCTCTCCAGGAGTGTCTTGTACTGGTCCTGAAGAAGTCTCAGGTCATCCTCCAAGTGGGCCTTGTCGCGCACCACTTGCTCGAGAGAGGTTTCCATGTCGTTAAGCTTTTTTCTTGCCGCTTCCAGTTCCTTCTGTGCTTGGGGGAGCATGACCTACCAAAGCAGTTACAGTTTATTAACACAGTGCCGCCTGGGATGTCATGTCCTCTGTGATTTTATTTCATCGACTGTGTCTACACTCAAATGGCTCTACAAGTACTTAGTCACCATAGAGGCATTAGCTAGTCAAAGAATGGGGAGAGAGAGAGAGAATGTGTGTGTGTGTGTGTGTGTGTGTGTGTGTGTGTGTGTGTGTGTGTGTGTGTGTGTGTGTGTGTGTGTGCGCACTTAACCCACATCTATTGCAGGTCTGTGTTATCATATTCTACATTTAGCTGGCTCCACAAACACTTACCAACAAGTCAAGCATGCCATTCAAATGTTCATCTCAAAGGTGTGACCATTTGAATAGCTCAACTGACAAACTGACGACATGGCAACACTCCTCCCTCCTGACACACATGCATTTCACCACAAGACATTAAATAAGTTACTTATTAGCCTTAAATGATTGAAGTTTGCAGTGGTTACTGAAACTGCTTGTATAAGACTACAAAGGGAATGATAAAAATAATAGAAAAAATATCAAGGAACAGAATTAAGGGGACCCTCCCTGCACTTATAATGTTTATTTCTAAAATGAGTATTAACCCAATGGTGCCGGGGAAAATGAACAAAAAATGGAAAAAATGCTGTGCCCACTTTCTATGTTTTTCGTGAAATGTCTGCCTATAGATGGCCCTGATTTCATATGGCGGGAAAAACGTATTTTTCACTAGTGCTATGAAAATCGATGGTGATATTTTTATCATAAACATTATAATTTTTATAATGTTTTTTAACATTAGTAACAGCAAAATAAGATTACGTAAAATATTTTGTAAATCAAAGAAATGGGTAAACGGGCGAGACGGGCGGTGCTCGTAACTGGCTCATTGGTGAGTTAGTACAAGTGATTGCCATCTATGCGTAAAAACAATCAAACAAGTACTCACGGTGGGCATAGCACGTACTGTACACGTCATACCCGGCACCAATGGGTTCATGAATCATATGTTTCCTAGGGAGTATCAGGCAAATCAATAATAGAGAAGGCACAAAAAAAAAAAAAAATAATAATAAAAAAAAATAAATAAAAAAAAAAATAATAAAATAAATAAATAAATAGAATAAATAATTAAATAAATAAATGAAATAAAAATAAAATAGAATAAAAAGGTCATTAAAAAAAAAATCTGATAACTCCTCATGCAATGACTTAAATCAGTAGAAAAAATACCAAAGAATCTTCATACAATGCAATAGCTAAATTGAGTTTGATTTAAAAAGTAGCAATTTCCATCCATTTTTGTAAAAAAATAGTATTTTGCTAAAAAATATTGTGTACCTTTATGTAGTGATGATAATGAAATCTACATTTTACAAGTCTAACAAAAACTGCAAAATATTTACTCCTTCAAATGGTGAAAACCCCATGAAAATGAGTAAAAAAAACTAGTGGAGCTTACAGGGAAAATGCTGCTAAATCCCCATTTTCGAATATTGCCTCTTTAAGCT